ACCTTGTAATTTCTGGATTTGCCTTTTACAGAGTTTTTTTTTACATACAGATGGGTAATGAGAGATTAGAGGAAGATTCTTGTATGCTTACACTGAATAATACAGTATTGCCTGAGAAGTCTCATTAATTTCAAATGGAGACAGTCACCAGGTAGCTGCTCCTCATGCCACTGAGAGCTTTAATCTGTTCTAAAAAGAATTTCAAACATTTGCAATGATCAGGTTTTGGATAAAGGGATTTCCCTCCCTCCCTAATAGCTTTGCATGATAAATTATTCTAACAATGTGATGAAACCATGTATGCAAATTGCTTTTCAAACAACCGAGCTAACAAAATATTGTTATTCTCCTTTGCAGGGGGAATTACCCAAGAAAACCATATAAAGCAGGACGACCATGCAGTGGATGCAGTAATGAGAAATGCGTAGACAAGCTCTGTGGTAAGACCAAAGTGATTAACTAAGAAAATTGCATAGAAATAAAGTGTCATAATTATCAGTAGAAATATATCAGTGAGTTATATTTGCACTAAGTATATAGAGGGTCTGTAGCGCACCACACAGCAACAGTACCAAGCCCTGGTAAGAATAGTATAAGAAGGAATTAATTGAAATATTTTGCTGTTGAAGGCTCTCAGAGGTAGAACCCAGAGTTTCTGATGAAGAGAAGTATCAGTTAGACTACTTCCTACCTTTTATCTGATCAGGAAATCAAATCTAAAACTTCAGCCCCAACAATATTGTCTGTCTAGTTCTTTTTTCCCCTAGCAGAAATAGTGTATTCAACTTCTGCTGTCTTGCTTGTTTAGTATGTCCTATCGCATTTTCTGGAAAACTATAGTTGTGAACCAGTAGTAAGACTATACTGAAAAGCACACTTATTTCTAACTGCTGCAATTTGTTGAAATACAGCAGTGAGAGCTTGTTTTTCCACAGCAGTTTGCAGCTGTGTACCTTTATGTCATTACACCTAGTCCCAGATTAGTCACAAATAGTGTTTTAAATAAACAGCAATGTCTTAAATCAAAGATGAATTTTATACAGAGGTTTAATGGGGATGGTCTCTACTAGCCAGGCTTTAGAAAGCTTCAGCTGTAGAAATAATTGAGCATTTGGTATCCTTATTTCCTTCCATGATATCCTGGCTGACTCATCTTGAAGTCTCAGACTGATGCATCACAGGAAAACTAGAAACATCTCAAAGACTAGGGGGAGGGAAAGAGGAAGAGGAGGAAAAGAACTTTTAAAAATTAAGTGCTACATCCTACAAGCCATTTTACCATATTGTCCTATAGGGCAAATCAGCAATTCTGATAGGATGCACGTAGGCAATCCTGCAGATGCATCAAAGCTCTTAGTAAAGGTGTATTTCTGTCATAAATTTAGTAGTTAGGTTTGTCTGTCTGTAACTACTTAAATTTGCTTTGTATATCAATTTAAAATAAATGCCAAGTTTTGTTCTTATTTGCCAGTTTTCCTCATGAAAGAAATTCTTCCTAATGCATGTACTTCTTTTGTGCTTATCTTTCAACTCGGTAAAAATTATGAGCCCCGTGTCAGCCAGGAACCCACTATTTTTGGCCTAATTCCCCTTTGCAGGATGTATAAAGCGCAGACTGGCATTGTCAGGGCAATCAGCCAGGCAGCAGCAATGGGTTTCCTTTTTCCATTAAGAGCCACCACTCACATTTTTTCCTTTTCTCATCTCTACAGAAAATCCAGAACGTGAGAAGCTAATAAGTACGTATCAAATTGCTCTCAATTACTTTTCCATAAGCATGGATAAGTTTGATGGGTCTTAACACTTGTTTCTTCACTGATTTTTAGATTATGCCTCCTGGTATCCAGACTGGGACACACAGCCCCAGCCACCACGGCCCCGTCCCCCCAGGCCTCCTGCGCCGCCGTACATCCCACCTGCTGAGCAGCCACATCCCTCTTGCGACCAGTACTGTATTACTGTTTTAATTTTAAGGCCACTCTTTTTGGTACTGAGTGCTGGTGCTGTTCTTTTAGTACAACAGCGGTTTCCACACACATTTTTTTATGAGTAATGAACAATTAAGATACTGATAGCGATCATACTGCTGTATTACTCTCAGAGAATTGCACACATCTGCAAAAACACTCAGTCTTCTCTCCATTATCCTTGTGATGTTTATCCAGCATAGAAAAGGCTGCTTCTTCACTCAAGGCAGGATAAAAGTGGTTGTGCATGGAGTTAGTGTAATTTATTGGCAGTAGCTGCAATGTGCTTCTATGTCAGCACAAGCCTCTTAGCTCTGGCTCAGCAGCAGCTTTCTAGAGGGACCATGTAGACTATATATTACTATACATGCCTCCTGGAAACCTGGAGCATCACAGAGACATGTCTGAAGCGGCATAGCAGGTCCAAAAGAAGCAATAACTCATCTCCTTCAATTATCCAAGACATCGCTTTCCCCAGGTAATGGATATTTAACAGTATGTGTTTTTAAACACAGAAAGAGTAAAGCTTGTCCTTTACTCTATTTAGCCTATGTGTATCAGTCTCCATTAAAGTTACTCTATTGTCAGTTGTACTGTTCTGTTCTTCACTCAGAATCAAGCTTTGTCCTCCATAGCTGGAAGAATGCCAGGGAATGTTGATAGAGCAAGAATTAAGATGGAGTGTCAATGGGGAGAGCTTAATTTTAGGATGTGAGATGGTGACAAAATCTGAAATGCAGAGTAGGTGACAGCCATCCCAAGCCTGCAGGCAGGGAAAGGGCAGGGGAAGCAGGGAGGAAAGACAGGAGAGGGAAGATGAAGTAGGCCCAGGACAGATTCTGGTTTGGAAACGGAAAATCTTAGCCTCATTAAAAAAACCCAAACTGTTGATGGATTTAGTTTATTTTTAGACACACTTAGCCCTCAACCCCTATTGTTCCCATATACATCTGTTAGTAAGGGAAACAAACACGTCTTTCAAACTAAGAGAAACTGGCTGATATTAGCAATGCATAACTTTGCTATCAATATTTAAAGCTCTTTCTCCTCCTTTATCTTAATCCTAATGTTTTGAGAACACAGTGACTCAAATTCTGAGCCACACTGCAGCTCTGAAAGAGCATGGCATCCCACAGAATATAAATGAGCCCCAAATGTTTGGGCTCTTGTCGCATGCTGCAAAATGTCACCATGTAAGAAGATACATATTTAATTTCACAACTGTCAGTGATTGTCTGGTGCCATCTTTTATATCTAGCAACAGCAAGGAGGCTGGGGCAAGTGCTTGGGAATGGGACATGTGGGACAGCTGACCCAAACTGACCAAAGGAATATTCTCTATGAAGTTGTGTTCAGAAAAAAAAAAAAAAAAAAAAAAAAAAAAAAAGGGAAAAAAAAGAAAAAACACAACTGTCAGTGATTGTCTGGTGCCATCTTTTATATCTAGCAACAGCAAGGAGGCTGGGGCAAGTGCTTGGGAATGGGACATGTGGGACAGCTGACCCAAACTGACCAAAGGAATATTCTCTATGAAGTTGTGTAAAAAAAAAAAAAAAAAAAAAAGAAAAAAAAAAGGGCATAGAAGAAGAAGAAAAGTGGGGGGCTGGCTTTCAGGGCAGCCATTGCTCAGAGACTGGTTATCATTGGGGATGGTGCCATTATGGGTGCTGAGTGATTGCCTTTGCATCACTTGAGGGTTTTGTTTGTTTGTTTCTCTGCCCCCCTGCCCTCTTTCCACACATATTAAGGTGTCTTTATCCTGAACCATGAGTTTTCTCACTTTTCTTCTTCCTGTTTTCTCCCTTCATCCTGCTGGGGAAAGGGCAGTGAGCGAGCGGCTGTGTGGTGCGTGGATGCTGGCAAGGGTCAACCCACCACATTAATGTGATCTAAGAAGGGGTCTGTAAGGGAGTTGTAAGCACAGTGTTTCTCATCCATGATTCCCTCAGAGGGCCTTTTCACCTGTAAGCAGTCTTTCCACGAATAGCTGGAGATGAGTGACCCACGGGACCTAGTGTGTGCTGGTGGGGCTGTTGTGGCAGGCTCACAGAGTGACCCCGGACCACCAACCTGAATGTGGCCTTGCCAGCAGCTCCAACACCTACAGGACTGCGTGTGCAGAAGTGATAACTGGGACCTACACTCAGATGCTCATAGGATGCAGATTCCTAAAATGAACCCTGGAGTGGGAAGAAACCCAACCTCGTTTCCACAGAGATGTCCAGGCAGGAACTGTGGGAAACGGCCTGAGCTTGATGGAGAAGTGATAGCTAAGGGCAGTGTGAGGAAGAAGGTGGTGATGAAGGTGGAGCAGGGTGAAGCAGGGCGTGTTGGGCACCCAAGGCAACGTGCACAGGATGTGGGCTCCCAGCTCCTGGCTGTGAAACCTGGTGTGGGTGCTGGGCACTCGGCATGAGACAGTGCCAGCCTTCATGGCACCCAAATCTGCTGGAGGCTTGGGTCGCAGGCAGTGAACTACAGGTTGCTAACGCTTGGGAGAAGAAATTGATAGCAGCATATAGCACAAGTATGTGATCACAGGAGAAACCCCTCGATAACTGCAGCATATTAGAATTGCAGTTCTCAGAGAAACTTACCCCTCCAATAACTCAATGAACAACCACAGTGACTGCTCATACTGCAGTAAAAGTCATGGTTCACATCAATTATTTCTCACAGCATTTTGGCTCAGAGTAACAGCCTTAACAGCAATGCTATTTTCATGAAAAACAGATTTATCCAAAGCTTTACTGCAACCCGTAGTGATTGTTATGGATGGGATGCTGCTGGCCAAAGAAACAAAAAGAAAGAAGCCCGAAGGGCAGGAGGGAAGAAGCTTGCCCACCACAATTAAAGAAAGAAGAAACAGAGAGAGAGACAAAGCTGCTACAGCTCTGATGTGAACTCCTAGCTTAATTTCCCTATTCTCGTGGCTACGCTTCTGACTCATTTCCTGTGACAATGCCATGTTCAGTTACCATGGCTAAGATAAGTCCAGCCCACAAGCCTTCCAAGCAAAACGCTGCTGGGGCAGCTAAAACCACCTCTTGCAGCTGAAGCACTCTGCTCTTGAAGCTGGAAGACCAGAGGCTGAGAATCATGACAAGCAGATTTTCTGCTTGTCTGCTGGCTTTTCTGCACTTTGGTCGTTCCTCCGACTCCTATGAACCACTGACATTGCCAGATGTTGGAGATCCAAAGTTTATTGAGGAATGTGTGCGAACCCATAACAGATTCCGGTCTGGAGTGAAGCCACCAGCCAGCAACATGCTTTACATGGTAAGGGGATCTTCACTACTGTTGTGCAATGTGTAGCATTGTGATGGTGTTTATGATTCTCAAAGACTGATTTTGTGATCAAATGAAAAAGAAAAAGAAAAAAAAAGAGCTACTTCTTTTTAAAGCAGAGAAAAAGGCTGTGATTATCAGATGGCTTTGTACAATGGGGTACATGTATAGTTTTGCCTGGCTTAATTTCCTCATTTTAAACCCAAGATTTCAACCCTCAGCACTGTTGTTTTGTGCTGTGAAAAACCTCCCTGCTCCAAGGCACCGCAGCTCAACAGCCTGGGGCATAATTTATGTGCAGACCTAAGCACAACCTTTCATACTTGAGTCGTCACAGGCAGAGACCATTGCCAAACGACGCTGGAGAGCTTTCTCTAAGCTTTCTTTGCAAGGCTCTCATGGACTGAGCCAACGGAGCAGCTGTTCTGAGGTGCTGGGGCTGCAGGGAAGCCAAAAAGCAACAAGTGCAGCAGGGACGAGCGCTGGAGGCACCAAGTCATAAGACAGCTTGTCATGACCCAAAATATACCCCAAAGCAGCCATCTCTCATTTCAGGTGGCTTGTGACACTTATCTCTCTGCTGGGTGGCACATGCAAAACCCAGCAGGGAGGAAGCTGTAAATGGGTGCACAAAGCTGGGTTTATGGCTGAGAAGCCCATCTCTGATTTGTGAGATGCTCAATTCCAGTAGCTTGGCAGCTGTCTCTTGCAACATCCATCACCTTTTGTGCTTTGACTGGATAATACTGTGACTTGACTGGGTAATACTGTGTTTCTTCTTGGGATAATCTCCACAGGTCTCTCAGATGGACTGTAGTGATTGTCCCAATTCTGATCTCTTCCGTTTTGCTCCTCTTTCTTACTATCTCGCATGATCACCACCAGAAGAGGAAATGACCACATCTGTAGTTAGCAATACCCTAACTGAAGTTCCAAAAAAAACAACAAAAAAAGCTCATTTTCCATTTATGGTTGTCAAACACTAAAAAATGAAGTGCCTATTAGAGAGGGGTAGATGAGTAGCGAGCAAGCTCAAGTTGCAAGTCTGACAGGAAACAATTTAGTTTCTCTTCTAGATGTATCTTTCACTTCAGCTTTCTTAGCGGAGCACCCTGAACTTCCAGACTCTTCCATATTGCTCCAGACTCTTCACTGGTCCTACACTTACAAAATATTGCTATGACATATTAAAAGACCAGTACAAATCTTCTTTAATTGTGCCTAAATTTTCCTTTTGGAAAATTAAAGAACTGAAATCTGAAAAATAAAAGTGGCTTAAGAAACAAACAAACAAATAAAGATTATTACAAATAAAATAAGCTACATAGTAAATTTCTTTTAAAGCACTGCAATAACCCAAGTCTTAACTACGACCTCTCCCAGAAAGATTCTAATGTGGAGAAAGCAGTACAATACATGATAAAATATATTATGAAAGTAAAAGCATTGGAACTGAAAACAATGTATTTCTTCATTTTTTAATGGTCTTTAGCACTTCAAAAATAAGGAAAAGAAGATTACTTCTTCATTTCATAGGGAAGTTCTTATTGTTGTAGATAACTATCCAGCAAGATATATGAAAATGAAGACTACAAACTCAGTACATTTCTACATTTTGGAAAAATAGTTTTTAAAAGAAAATACAAGACAGAAACTCCTTTAACTGCACATAACAAAGCCCAACCATCTATATTTGTAATACACTTATAAAATGAGAATGCTGATCTAACATTTTTTACCTGACAGATGAGACCCCTTTCCCATTCACTCAAAGCATTGCTTAGATCTGTTCCAAGGCCCTTCAAAATGAGCAGAAAAAGTGTCTGGTATGATCTTGCAATTTTTAATTACTTACTGGTAGCATAAATCATACACAAATTGTTTCAGACTTATCCATGGTACAAAAAAAGTTATATAATCTAAAACATAGCTATAAAATTTAACAACCACCTTTTCCTTAGTCACTGTTACTGATCTGTTCAATGCAATTTCTCTAACAATTCCATTATTTGCAGAAGCAACTGAGATATTTTAATCCATATAGGAAAGAACAAATAAAAATAGTTTATTTTTTTTTTAAAGTCCAAAATAGTTCATCAGTACTAAACAAGTTCATTTACATGACACAAAGTGTAACTAAGAGCACAGGCATATACTCATGGTACTGCATTTTCCAGGAGGTACAATACTGTATTTGCTCAAACAAGTTGTGTGTACAAGAAAACCCAGCCAAACCAGACACCACCTCCAGTGCAAACAAAAGACATTACTAGAACTCCATTGCTGAAATAACTGCTTTCTGTAGGATAGAATAGCAAGTGAATGAGTGATTCCACAAATATTAATTCAGCGCTAATATTTGAAGCCACCAAAGACAAAGATGCAAACCAAGGGTTGAGTTTAAACTGTCCCCAAAATCCTGCACTGACCTGCAAGGTGGCTTTAATGCATGAGGTGGCACGAGACCCCAGTCTGATTGGTACGGTAAGCACACCCCCTAATCCCCAGATTTCCTGTAAATTCACCGTGTAAATTAAATTGATGTTCTCTCATGGCCAGCACAGCCTGGAAATGCACAGTGTGCCCCAAACACTGTCTTTGACTGATGTACAGCTTTTGGTGTCCAACAGACCAGTCAGCAAAGATCACCCACCACCCCAAAAGCTTCCTCAAGTTTAATGAGTGCCTAAGTTTACATCAGAAATGAACCTACAAGCCAATTTACCATGTAGAGAGCTACAACAGAAGTTGTCTCAACAGAAACAGAAATCAAATGAATCCAAAGCACATATGCTACTGAGACCCAGCTTCTCCTAAAAGTTGCTCTGAATTACTGCATTGCTAAGATATCAAAGTGACTTTTGGATTTCTTTATTTTGCAGAGTTGGGATCCAGATTTAGCAAAGACCGCGAAAGCTTGGGCAAAGAAATGTCTTTTTAAACATAATATATACCTCAAAGTTCCAGGGCAGGCTCACCCAAAATTTACCACTGTTGGAGAAAACCTCTGGACTGGCTCACTTTCTATTTTTACTGTGGAAGAAGCCATCACCAATTGGTACAATGAAGTCAACGACTACAATTACGCCTCTAATAACTGCAGAGGAGTATGCGGCCACTATACACAGGTAGGCATTGCATTTCTCCATCTAAACCATGAATTAGCCTTGCTATTTTGACACGGAAACTCTAGATTTCTGTTGAAGATTCAATGAACTGTTTTCCAAGTGCTGTAGTCTTATTTTATGTCTGTGCACACAAGATGTTCTCATGTCCCCATTTTAGGGAGGAAAAGAGTCATTGTATTATTATTTTAAATTTGCCAGTTGCATTTTGTTTGCAGGAAGAACACAGGACAGCTGTCAAGCAGTCAGGTTTAGCCAAGCAGTGGCCAAAAACTAGGCAATGGCAATGGCTGTGGGCTGCAGTGCGTGGTGGGATGAGGTCTCAGCTCTGGCAGGCAGCCTCCACATGCCAAGGGCTGTGGAAATACAGGCATATAAAGAAGTGTCTGTAGCTCTGCAAGCATCATGTCTGCATTTCTACCAACCACGATTCCCAAAGCAAGAGGGTAAAATGAAGGAAAGGAGTGCCACTGCCATGCAACCCCCCAGTTGCTAACCATGGCTATGGGTGAGCAGGATGGCTGCCAACAGTGGTTCTAGGGATTAAATTATGACCTGAGGCTACTTAATAGAATCATAGAATAGTCTAGATTGGAAGGAACCTTTAAGATCATCAAGTCCAATCTTCAACCTAACACTGCCAAAACCCCCCACCAAACCACGTCCCTGTTTGGGGGAGTCAGCATTGATAGCGACTGTAGCTAGAAGCTGTGTGCCTGCCAGCTTTGGGAGGCATCCTGGGGTCTGCACCTTCGGCTAACCCTTTGTTCCTCCCACTGTGGAGAAAGGGTTTCCCCCAGGTACAGTTATTGCAGTTACCACATCCACATCCCCAGCATACGCCTCAGCTGGTGGCTGCCTGGGATGGGGAGGGTCCTGTGATGCCCTCAGGTACCGCTGTGCCCCTAGTTTTCTGGGACTGAAGCATTTGGCTGCACTGGAGTCTTTGAGCTGGATATAGGATGCTGGATTGAACTGAACAGCTTCTGGTAGACAGAGGATGCAATGCCCTTGCCTCTAGATTACCTTAGTCATGGCCATGATGCTAGAAGGCAGGACTTCAGCTCAGACATGCTCCTTCTCCCTGCTCCTCCCATAACACCAGTACCTTCCAGCAATTTGCCTATACATCCCCACTGGATTTAGTACAGGGGCAATCAGCCCTGTAGGAGCTGTTGCAGATCACAAGCCTTTTCTGTGCAGGTTGGATCTTCTCTCCCCTAGGCAATCCCCAAGGTAATGGATTACCTTGAAGCAAAGGAGACGAACTTCACCTTCTCCTTTGCAAGAAAGGATAACTCCTTGTTATAGCCGGTTACTCTTCCTTTGAGAGTCGTTTTAACAAATATCTGGTAAACTGGGCAAAACAATCAGGTGGTTTTTTCCAGAAGAAACGATGATTTCGAGATCTATCACTGCTACTTGCCCCCAGGAAGCATGGCCAAAGAGTGCTCTTCAGCCAATGTGTTGTCGTGAAACAGAGGAGGGCAGGTCTTCTCCGTAACACTTCAGATGCTGAAGGAAAGCATTTGTCACTGGTATACCTGTCTGTCTTTTTGCAGATCGTTTGGGCTACAAGCTACAAGGTTGGCTGTGCCGTCCACTACTGTCCCACCGTGACTTACTCTCATATAACCAATGCAGCACACTTCATCTGCAACTATGGGCCAGCGTAAGATTTTTCATTACAAATATTTCACAGGGTTTGGGTCCTACCCCTTCCCTCCCACAACATGGAACTTCATTAGGTCAGTCCATCTATGAATGGATTTTGTGGGAGGAAATGGCCCCCAAAATAGAGAAAGAGGTACACATCTGTCCAAACAGCTTTTTTTTTTTTTTTTTGCTATGTATTGTAGCCAAAAAGCAGTGGCAGTAGTAGAAAGGGTAAAATATAAGATGCTGACATGATAATACTAAAGTGATCATTTGACAATTAATCCCTTGCTCCTGAGTGCCAAGATGACCACAGACCATTGCCAAGGTACAAACCCGAAGTCTGATACTATTTCCACATGTGCCTGCAGAATTAAGCCTCTAGGTCAATGGTTTGGATCAATATTGAAGTGTGCAATGCTCGCAGCTGCGATCCTAGCAGCTGAGGGCTGCTCATGAGGCTGGGGCTGCTTAAGGCAAGATTTTATCCAGAGGTCCTTCATATGCATAGTCCATAGGATATCCAGCTAGGATGGATGGTTTTTACCCTTCTCCAGTTAATTAATGCCACTACAGCCTAAAAACAGCTTTAAAAGCTTTATATGCATACCGTGTTGGGCCAAGGTCAGGCAAGCCCATGAACTTGAGCAAGTTTGGCATTCCTGTTGCCCATGTTTCATCCTTGGAAGAACATGTACCCCTGACCAGATTCCTTGAAATGACACAGCTGCTGCTGTGCCAAAGCAACAAACCCCCTCTCCCCAGAAGCCCCACATCCAAACGGGCTGGGCAACCATTGCCTCTGCCAGTTCTTGAGCCAAAAGCCACTGATCACCCAGGGCAGCCTCTCCTTTCCCTTCTCAGCACCTGATAGATGGTGCAGAAACCCTGTCCACAGGCAAGCAAGGCCCCCAGCGCTGCTAGGAGGTGTTTTCTGTCCCTTGAGCTTCAGCCCTGAATCTCCCAAAGACAAGAGCCAAGCCTTGCTCCTTCTGCCCCATAGCCAATACCTCTATGGTGCAGATGATGGAAATCATGCTGGATTGCTCACCCTGTGTCAGCAGGGATCCCGTGGGTAAGAAGGTTGCCCTCACTCTCAAGAGCACCCAGCAGAGCAGCCCACTGCCAAGGATCAAAGCAAGATGCATGCACAATTTCAATTCCTAAAACTGCTGAATGTAATGAGGTTTTACCACAAAGTAAACCACTGCTAAGATTGCATGCATATAAAATCCTTCTCAGTGTGTTGATGGGCAGTTTGAGGCACACTGTAAATCTCACTTTTGCCATGTTTCAATTAAAGTGAAGTCCTGAGCTGCGTTTGGGGCAGTATCAGGTATGGGCAGGTTTGATACCCAGGTATGGGGCCAAGAACCTGGTCAGAGGTAGCTGGTGCCACTCACGCTGCTGGCAGAGGGAGGGAGCAGGGGGAGACAAACATTACTCCTAAAGTATTTACCAACAAACAGATTAAATCACTGCCTATGAGAGATTCTCCAGCACCAGAGATTCCTCTTCAAGGTTAAAATATGCATGTACAGACAACGTAACTGAATCTGCTCTTGCTCCCATAGCTTAGAGCCAGCTTTGAGAGCCCACAGTCTCCACACACACAAATTATCCAGAGCTGAGACTATTTTAATTCCCGGGTTTGCAATACTTCTGTCTCCAGGTTCCTAACCAGGGTGCCCCACTACACTTTACTTCTTTTGCTTTACTGCGTGTCTCAGGCACGGGGCATTCAGACAGGGACTGTCCAAAACCCACCTCCCTATCAACACAAGGGAAGCAAAACCCAAGTTAAAAACTAATTAGTGGTAGGGATTAACATTCTCTTTCCGAGAGCAGTTTGAGAGCAGTGCTATTTCCTTTCCAGGGGGAATTACCCAAGGCACCCATACGAGATGGGAGCAGCGTGCAGCGACTGCAGAGGTGATCAGTGTGCCAATCAGCTGTGTCGTAAGTAGAAGACAACCAGCTCTCCTCCCCAAGCACATGTAGAAAGGGAAAGAGCACACAGAACATCCTGGCAGCAGGCAGGCACAGCGCCCTCTTGTTCCTAAATATAGTCTGAAAAACTGCAGTCGGAAGCCAAGTGAGCAGTGATGCACAAAGAGAGGGGAGGAGGATGGAAAGAGCCGGTTTTCTACCCTGGGGAGTGATGGGATGAGTGATGCTCTTCGGGTCCTGGAGGGTACGGTACAGGAGATATAGTGGCTGCAGTTTAAGGTGGTGTTATCCCTGCCAGAACGTGCTACTTGCAGGAATGGGAATACCCCCTCCTGGGGGCTCCAGGTTACTAACTGGTGCATGAGCTGTGGCTTGAAGCGGTGCAGGTCCGAGCCAGCCTTGTCCCTGCCGTGCTGCTGCGGGAGAGGAGAGCTGCCACCGCACTGCCAAAGCTGCTGGCTCCAGTGAACATCAGCCAGGCCATCTGCTTTCCCCCTAAGCACCAGGAGAGAGCCAGGCTGCCACGCGAGAGCCCTTCATGGGGACACAGGGCTCAGCCTGAGCCCCTCGGCAGCCCACCTGATTCTCCTGCACTTGGCTTTGCAATGGCTGGATGGGATCAGGAGGGGAGGGAGACCTTCTGCTGTTCCCCTAAGATGGACAAGGTGCTGTGTTGTGGACATCTGCCCGGGGGGAGCTGAAGGTACAGTCACACTTTTCCCTAGCACTCAGCTCTGGGCAAAATAATGGAGAAGGAAGCTGATGTTCAAACAGCAGCGTGGCAGGAAGGAGAGGGAGCCCCCGATGCACGGGACTGTTCAATGTTACCTACAGGCAGAGGATCTGAAATGCAAGGCACTGGGAAAAAGCCAAAGTCATGTTGGGAAGCACACCTGGGAGAACAAGCCCTCCCTATGCCAGCCACTAGTGGGAGGAGAATCGACACAGTGTAATCAAATGCTCCTCAGCAAAGCCCCAAGGGTCACTGCAGGGCTCTCCTAAGTCAGTGGGTCTTTGCTTCTTCTTGGAAAAAAATATAGCTCCCAAAGCTACATTTGTGAGCCCATCATCAGCCTCACGCTTCATTCCCTTTTGCTTAGACTCAAATTGTTTATAACGTGTAAGTCTGCTGATGTTCCCTTCTTTTCTCTCTCCAGGAAATGCAGAGCGTGACAAAGTCATCAGTAAGTACCCCCAGAATTACTGCTTCCATTTGTTGCCCTCGGTGCAGTTATACTCCAAAACAAGTAACTTGTTTGATTCATAGGTGATTCCAAGTGGCGTCCAGAGTGGGACAGACCTGCGTGTGACGAGTACTGCATCTCCGTCATTGTTTTAAGGCCGTTACTCCTCATACTGGCAATTCTGGCCAGCTGGCTCCTACCAAAATACTGCCCCATAGCACCCGCCAGTGAGTGACACGCGTGCAGAAGAGCACAAGAGCACTTTGGTCCGCTCAGCCCTTCCCTGCACATAAGTTACGGGCAGCACAAGGATGGGTAGAGACAGTGTTTGCACCCACAGGTGATTCAGAAGCACATTGGTTGCAGGCAGCCGCTAGGAGAGCTGATAAGCAGCTTTCTCACTGCTCGAGACTAGTAAATGGTTTCAAATTACCCATTTATTTTGTCAAAGTGGAGTGAATGGGATCTGGTGGGTAAGAGATGTGGGGTGCAGGCAGCTGCTGGCCATCCTTCCCTCAGCAGGGCTAGAGGGTGCCCAGCCCAGGAGCACAGCCCTCGCCGAGGCTCCAGGCAGAGCATTCACCTCTCGCTCCTATTGCGCTCTTTCCTTGGACACTCCTCCAGAGAGAGGCAGAGCAGCCTGGAGAGGCTTTTCATTTAAATGTTGGGTTTTTTCCTAATAATTTTTTGATCCTCGTGAGCTCTGACATTTGCATCCCGTGGTAGGCAGTGTGTTTCCCAGTCTCGCAGTGCACTGGGGCCACTGGTACTTCTCTTTGCTTAGAATTTGGTTTTAAACGTGTTATCTGTGTCAAAACATAGCTGCACCTGTGTTTATACATGATTATGTCTGACTGCAATCTTCCCTGGAGGTTTCTATATCCTTTTTTTTTTTTTTTTTTGAGCACAGAGTTTCTGAGTGCTCAGACAGCAGTCAGAAACCATGATTTCCTGTTCCCCACGTGTGGCAATCGTGCATTTGCAACAGGATCTAAAGCTTAACTGCTGGTGCACGAAAAACCTCCATGTTCAGCTCCAGCCTGCACCATGCTGAGCAACACGGTGCTGGGAAAGATGGCATAAACCCCCAAATAAAAGCATGCTGCACGCGTAGTCGGGCCTTTGGTTCAACAGCTGCCAAGGGATGAGTCTCCTGCAACCTGCACATCTGGAAGAGGCAGAGAGCGGTGGGGAGGGCTGCTGGGTTCAGCTGGGCACGTCCTCTACTGGTCATGGTCGCTCAGCTGGAGCGGAGGCTGGAAGGAGCAGAGTGGCACGAGCTCACAGCTGGACCGTAGCGATCTTTACTAATATTTGTTTTGTGATCCTAATTGCAACTATTGAACATGGGTCTCTTCTTTTTTATTTTTGGATGTTTCTATATCCTTTTTTTTTTTTTTTTTCTGAGCACAGAGTTTCTGAGTGCTCAGACAGCAGTCAGAAACCATGATTTCCTGTTCCCCACGTGTGGCAATCGTGCATTTGCAACAGGATCTAAAGCTTAACTGCTGGTGCACGAAAAACCTCCATGTTCAGCTCCAGCCTGCACCATGCTGAGCAACACGGTGCTGGGAAAGATGGCATAAACCCCCAAATAAAAGCATGCTGCACGCGTAGTCGGGCCTTTGGTTCAACAGCTGCCAAGGGATGAGTCTCCTGCAACCTGCACATCTGGAAGAGGCAGAGAGCGGTGGGGAGGGCTGCTGGGTTCAGCTGGGCACGTCCTCTACTGGTCATGGTCGCTCAGCTGGAGCGGAGGCTGGAAGGAGCAGAGTGGCACGAGCTCACAGCTGGACCGTAGCGATCCGTATCTATTTGGAGATGGGTTTAGGTGCCTCTGCACCATGCCCCTCCACAGGGCACAGGCACAGGCTGCTGTGAAGGAGGCTGGGAAGCTTCCAGGGTACCTGTGGGTGTTTCTGCATACCCACTCCTGACCCCACTGCTGGGGCGGATCTTAACTGAAAACACTGGAACTGGGACCCAAAGTTTCTCACATTATTCTTCCAGGTGGGTAACTGCTCGCACTTGAACCATCGCAGCATTTCCCGGATAAATCATTTTTCAAAATGCAAATATGACTGGGGACAAATTCCAAACTTTGCCCTTGATGTATCTTTACACGTAGTTTGTTGGCTGCCAAGAGCCTCTGTAGCCAGGACATCACACACACGGACAGGAGATGAGCGTTTCCTTTTCCACATCCCAGTGACCAGGGCCCCAGTACCCATGCTGGCCTACCTGTGAGAGAGCCAAGCTCAGCTCTTTCTTCCAAACCGGGCAGATTAGGGTGTTTTTAATCAAAAAATTCCCACCGCAAAAGCAAGGCCATGGGTCTATCTGTTAAAAAGAACAGCTATTTTCCTCACCACCTTTTTGCCACTCTTTTGTGGAAGACCCAAGCCTCAAACTGCACGTGCTGCAAGGTCCCATCTGAAAGTGGCACGTGGGCAGCAGGACCTACCCCGTGTGCGGTGTCTTGCCCAGGGCTCCCACCCCAGCACGGAGCCTGGCACAGCCTGTGCCCCACTGAAGCCATGGGCAGTTAGATCCTGCTGCTGCAAAGAGGAACGCGTCCAGGGAGCACAAATGAGCTCGGCAACAATTCTCCCCTGCTTAGTTTAATCTACGCCTGGTCTCCAGGAGAGTAAACAGAAGGAACACAGAGTCCTTAAAGTTCAAAACATTCAGAGCGCTGTCATTTAACTATATACTTCAGCAGCTCTAAGGAAACACCATAGAAAAAGCTTCATTAAAAAACCTGTAAATCACTGGGGCTTAGAGGAAAAAAACACCCAAACTTACAACATGGTTATCTTTCAAACAGAAAAGCCTGAAAGTCAAGTCAAAGCTAAACAAGTACTGCATCTCATTTTAAGGACATCCAAAAATCCAGATATTTAACTCCTGATGATCAAACCACTTTGAGCTGTCCACGTTAATTTTATGGCATATGCCTATGAATTCTGTATGATAAATGCAAAACACTGATATATAAGTACAGCCTTCAGGTACTTTTTTGCAAGTCTGTAAACTCTAAAATCAGTTTAAGGAGATAATTTGCAATAGTTCAAGCTGTTCTGAAAATATCAAAAACTTTTTTTCACCTTTCTCGATCCACTTTGTTTTCTAATCTTTACTTTTTGCACAATTATAAGAACTGTAGAGCTATATTCTTTGAGAAAACAGGTGCAAAAAGCGCCAAGAGTGAGCCCAAGCAGTCAGTTACAATTCAGATACGGACTCTAAGCAGCCAAACCCTGTGGTTTAATTTGCCTACGGGAATATGAATAGGTCTTCCTCGAATTTTCAGTTAAGGGAAATAAATGTCCAACCAACAATCCTTGAGATCTGCCAACCATAACAGCTGAAAAAGATTAAACACAATGCAAAGCCTTTTCACCCCACAACAACACAGGGACAAGACTCCTTGAAGTCTGTTAAGAGTTTTACTACCGATAGGGATTTGTTGCAAGAGCTATGGCTCCCAAATTGAAGAAGCTTGCTACCATGGAAGTATATATAATTGAAGGCCAGGCTGCCACCAATCTGAGCTGTGTTCTCCTGCACTGCAGCTCAGGCAAAGTTAGCTGATGCTGCTGGAAAACAATCACTTTTTCGTAGGGTGCTGTCAGCTAGATCAGATGCCTGAATGGCAGCCTGCAAGAGCAGTGGAGGGAAACCACCCCACACTTGTTCCTGATTTTAACTTTTTAAACAAGCAGCAGGGAAACATCTATGTCAGTCCTCTGTAGGTGAAAGGTGTCTCGTCCTGTTCCGATTAGAAGCAAGGACTCCCCCTCCCCTACTACACTAGTGCTCCTTCCCTGGCTACAGTCAGACTCCTCCTTTGCCGGCTTCTGGCTCTGCAGCCTCTCCTGGTGACTCATGGGTGGGATGGCACTGTGAGAACAGGCATTTAAACTCCAGTATTGCAGTGCCTCCTGCTGAGAGCAGTCCTTTCACGGTATGAGGCCTGAACTACCTGTCTGGTGCTGAACACAGGTCACCCTGTCATCTGCTAAACATCAGTCCGTGCTTCTGGAAAGCCTTTCATCACTAAACCCATCAGCTCACTGCACTTTTTGAGACACACGTTTGTGACACATTGATCACATTCTCAGTGAAGTTATCTGCTGAAGTAGTATTTTCCTGACTGATCTTGCAGGTAATTAAACCACCATTTACGAACAGTGCAGTCCCTAAAAGGGGTGAGTTTTTTCCTTAAAAATTGAGAAGCAATCACAGCACTGAAAGGCACACCGAGGCTAATATTATCCCCTAGCCTAAAGGGCAAGCACCTCAGCTACTTCTCAACGTACATGTACTGGCTATTAAACCACATGTATTCTAAATTCTTATTTATATAGGCAAAAAAGGGAATGTCTGCATTTTCACTTACTAGTTTCAAATAAAAGGTCACTAACCTAACAGCAGTGGGTCGCAATGTTCTAGCATAATCATTTTCACTGCATGTCCAAAAGAACTCCAACACAATCATGAAACTGGTGTGGCTCTACCACCTGCTGGCACCACCTCAGTACATTTGTTTGTTTAATCTCAGATGCATGAAATAAGCAACATCTGCTCTTCCAGTGAACTTTATTTCATCAGAATTTGCATTTTCAGGAAACTAAAAACCTCTAAACTTCCTTTAAAAAAGGGGAAGGGCCTCAAAAAAACCAAACCACTATTTCTTAAGACCTTCTTGCAAGAAAGAAATAAATTAATAATATATTTGAAGACAGACAAGAAGATCTTATGCTTCCCTGCAGCACATTCCATGCAGAAAGACACTTTCTTTGTACCACACTCTAATAGTCTCCAGAACAATGCTAATAGATGACAGTTTATTAATAGCATTCAATTAAGATTATGATTTGTTGAATTCTCACATGAAGCCGTGAGCTTGTTTCCTGGAAAACATGATGCAGGCTGTGCAGTAGCTCACTAAACTCAAGGATTTAACAACACCATATTAAAATAGTTTATTAATACTAAGACAAGACATGTAAAAATAATCAGCTTTTACAGAAACAAAAGCATAATTCAGTAATAAATCTTGCCCATTTGCAACAATTATTTCCATAACTGAGGCTGCATATAACCTGGTAGTCTTTCACACCAGAACTACCTTTAACTCTCACAGAGTTCTCTGACCTTAACGTTTAACATCCTGCATCAAACCCCTAAATGTTCCTGTTACGAAACCTTCCCTTTAGGTAGATAGATATTCAAATAAACTCTCTTGCTTTCTCCAACAACAAAGCAGCGCAGATTTTCTTCACCAACCTTGGCAATTTTGCACAGCTGCTTCAGGTCCACTAATTAAAGTGTACTTGTGAAAAGAGAACGATCTTTCTACCTAGTCTTTTCTTGTCCAGATTATACTGACAGCAAGAAGTCTCTTCCAAGTGTGAAAATGTTCGTTAACATGGGAGAAAAGTGAACATCTCAGGTGAATTACTTCTTTTTCTTTTTTTTCTTTTCATCTGCTGCCATTTTTAACTTGACTTCTTCCTCAGGAAGTGCTCCTAATTTCTTCTTCTTTGCATTCTTAACCTTTTCCTTGATGGCGGCAATATCAATTTTTTTCTCAGTGGAGGCTACACAGTAAAAAACACAAGTATTACCCACAAAACTCTTTCAGCAGAATTCCAAGGAGAACATTCATATAAGAAATTCTATACAACTGTATTTGAACACAGATGCTACGCTCAGCACACGTACAAACTATTATCACCCACATCTTACTCCACAACTAATCCATACGCACTCTCTTGGACATTGGCTTGGTTGGTCTCACATGACAGGAGAATAAATTAATTCTTGAGTTCTTGTACCCAGAGAAGCTTTTGTGGTATTTTGTCTTTTTGCACGTATTTGAGATACAGCAGGATTATTGAAAATTTACTGCCATCACAAAAAAATACTTTATCAATGATGCAGGACACATACACTTTTTGAGAAATCTGAACTTTTCAGTTCATAAGAAACTGTGCAATATATAGTTCAATACTATGTAGCTGGTATATCTAATACAAAATGTACATAGCATATGTAATAGAATGAATATGCTATGGAATAGAATCAATGCATCCA